TATTTATTCTGAAAGCACAAGTTTATTTCCCAATCTAGGAAATGTTTAAATTCTTTTCTATGCAATCTGAACTGATATTCTCAACAATGTGGCTGTTTTGTTTGGTCTAGATTTCCTTTTAATATCTGCAGTATTTTCATGTGAGCTGACCTGATCCTAATCTCTAACCAGCATTACAATAGACTTCACGCCTGCCTTTTCCTGTTAATATGTTTTGGAGCCTTACTAAACCTTGGAGTTAACAGAGCTAAACTGTTAATGGAAGATGTCAAAATCCCAGTGATTAAATGTGATGAAAAGCTATGCCTGGAGGAAGGTTTATAGACTACATTGTACAAAAAAATGCATCAGAAAAGGTACTTTAAAGCTTTATGAGAAAACGATTTCACATTTGAAAGGTTCAACGATCTCATTGAGAATACACTTTTATGGAAGATTAACACTGCTGATATTTTGTAAAATACTATAAGGATTCCTGGACATTTAGCCAATGGGGTATAATTTGCGATATTTCTTAATAAGGAATGTGTTATTATCAGACTTCTAAAACATTTCCAAGAATATGACAATTCTTTAAAGCATTTGATGCTTTAGAAATTCAAGAATTATATATTTCCTTATTAAGAAATCCATTAAGAAATACCGCAAAATAGACGCCAGTACATGTTTTACAGAAGAGTTGAAATACCCTGGCCAGGTTATTGAGTCTGGACACTGATGAAAATGTAATTATGCGACAATCAACTTGATGCTCACCAACATCCAGCCTTCTAATCAGCTCTGTTGAGTTGTTAAATTCTAAATCTAGCACTTGTGTCAAATAGCAAACTCTGATCTTTAAGCATCTTGACACGTCTCGACGACGTGATAAGGAGCTATATCAAATGCAAGGATTATTATTATTATTTTGATATTATCTTCGGCTACACTCAGATATACTCCTGCAAGATTATTTTCCTTTCTGATGTTTATTAAGTACTGGATAACTTACTACATGAGGTTTCTATTTCCTGCTTATGAAAGTGCAGTGAGTTTAAAACTACTTAATTGCAGAAAAAGAAGGGATTTTACTGTTAACATATTGATCTCTTCAAAAACCCTTACTGATAATTGTTACTTTACTTCATTTAATTTATCACTTCTGAAATAGGAAATAGTATTCAAGCACAATCCTAGAAGTTACACGTTAGAAGAATACCCATTTAAAATGGTGTTTGTTTCTTCTGGAGCTAACTATCTTATCCCAATTCTCTGCTATCTCTATCCATTTTGTTTTATGTTCTTCATTTTCAAATCAGGATTGTGACTAGCAACGTAAAAGGAGTTTCAGAAGAACTCCCAGAAGGTTGTCAGGGAATGGATTGATTTGCCAGGCATGCCTGTTAAAACGTCAAATGGGGCAATTAAAAAATAATTGGACAAGCGTGTGCGGAGGAAGGATATTAGAAAACTTGAGGAATAGAGCACAAACTGGAATTATGATGGATGGCTTCTTGGAGGAGCAAATACCAATATAAAAAATGGTCCGAATGGTCTCCTGCTGTGTCGTACGTTACTATAGTTTAATCATTATCTAATTCCCTTTTAAATGTTATTGTTTCAGACTTTCAATAGCCACTTATAGCAAAGCATTTAATGTTCTAATAATTCTTTGCATAAAAAATTTCTTCTAGCTTCCCCTTAACAATCCTGATCTTATTCCTTTACTACTGATGCACTAAGCTGTGGAAACAATCTTATATTCTCTATCCTCTTAAAACCTTTCATAAATTTACAATAGAAATTGACATTTATATAGCACCTTTCTCTTTGGGAGGACACCCCAAAATGCTCAATAGCACTGGATTAGCACCCGAGCTGTGGATGGGGAGCTGACGGGGGATGGGAGAGGAAAGATGACTAAAAGCTAGATCTTGAGACGGAGCTTGAATGAGGGTGAGGGAGGGAGCGAGTCTGAAGGACTCTGGGATGGAGTTCCAAGAAGTGGGGGCAGAATGACTGAAAGCCCATCCACTGATGGTGCGGCAGATAGGGTGGGCAACTTGAAGCTGGCCAGTGATCCCCAAGCGAAGGGAGCAGCCAGGTCGGTGTGATTGAAGGAGGCCATAGAGAGAAGGTGGAGCAATACCATGGAGGGATTTGAAGGTGTGAACTAGGAACTTGGATTTGATCCACTGGGGATGGGGAGCCAATGGAGCCAAGCAAGGATGGGGTGATTGGCACACGGAGCCTGGTGTGGGAAAGGACTCATGCTTCAGAAGTTTTTAATCAATTTTGGAACTTTATTTTAGATTCCCTCTTAATCTTCTCCTTTCGAATGAAAATAGATCCAATTATGAGATTTTTGAGTCTTTCCTTATACTATCTATAAAAACCTAGACTACCATTTCTATGCCTCTCACGTCCTTTCAATAATAGGATTGCCAGAGCTTCATGCAGCTCTCCAACAGTAGCGTAAGCAATGTTTTGTACAACTTCTATCAAAGGGGCATATACTATTGTGGAACCCTTGTACCCAGTGATCAGCCACAGTTCGAACATTTCAGCACTTTAACTCTAAACCGCCTAATACAAACCTATTATACAGGATATGTTGTATCATTTTGGTCTGTGCCCACAGGCCAAGTGCACTATTCTTACTAGTTTACAACAACAACAAAATTACATTTATAGAGCTTCTTTCACGTCAGGAGGACGTCCCAAAGCACTGAACAGTCAGGTGTCGGGGCCCAAGCATGGGGGAGGGGTGGGGTAGGGTTGAGGAAAGGCAGAGAGAGGTGGGAGGGAGACGAAAGCAACGGTCAAAGAAAAGGGTCTTGAGACCAGCCTTGAAGGAGGCAAGTGAGGAAGCGAGGCAAAGGGACCGTGGAATGGAGTTCCAGAGTGTGGGGGCAGAGAGGCTGAAAGCCCGGCCACTGATGGTAGGGCGGATCGGCGGGAGACATGGAGCAGACCGGAGCCTGATGAACGGAGGGAACGGGCAGGTTGGTAGGGAGTCAGCAGGTCAGAGAGGACAAGGCCATGGATGGCCTTAAAGGTGAGGACAAGGATCTTGAACTCGATCTTCTGGGGGATGGGGAGCCAGTGAAGTCGGGCGAGGGTGGGAGTGATGGGGTCACGGAGCCTGGTGTGTGGGAGTACACGAGCTGCAGAGTTTTGGATGATCTGCAACTTGTGAAGGCCGATGAGGAGGGAGTTCCCGTAATCGAGCCTTGATTTGACGAATGCGTGGGTGAGGGTTTCGGCAGCCTGAGGGGTGAGGCAGTGGCGGAGTCTGGCAATGTTGCGGAGGTGGTGATAGGCGGTGCTGGTCATGGCACTGATGTGGGGGAGAAAGGACATTTCAGGGTCAAACAAGATACCCAGGTTCCTGACTGGCTTAGTGAGGTTGAGTTTGCAGCTGTGGAGGCTGACGCTGCCAACGCCTGAGGTGCGGAGGCGCTGGTGCACCCAATCAGGAGGGCCTCAGTCTTGCTGACGTTGAGTTGGAGAAAGTTGTCCCTCGTCCAAGACTTGATGTTGAACAGGCAGTCAGTCAGGACGCCAGTAGTCCTGGTGTTAAGGGTGGAGGCAGAGAGATAGAGTTGGGTGTCATCCGCATACATGTGGGAATTTACCCCATGTCTGCGGATGATGTTACCAAGAGGGAGCATGTAGAGTGTGAAGAGGAGGGGACCGAGGACAGAGCCCTGAGGAATGCCGCACGACACGGTGCGGAGGCTGGAGGAGAAGCCGTTTGCCGCGACGAAGTGGAGGCGGTGTGAAAGGTAGGACCTGAACCAGTCAAAGACAGAACCTTGGAGGTTGAGGTGGGAGGAGAGACAGTGGAGGAGGATTGAGTGGTCCAAAGTGTCAAAGGCGGTGGACAGGTTGAGGAAGACGAGGAGGCAGAGGGAGCCCTGGCCACACATGGTCAGGATGTCGTTTGTGACCTTGACCAGAGCAGTTTCTGTGCTGTGGGCAGGACGGAAACCCGATTGGAGGGGTTCATGGAGGTAGTGAGAGAAGAGGAAAGAGCAAAGCAACGGCTCTCTCTTGGATAGGAAGGGGAGATTTGAGATGGGCCGGTAGCTAGATAGCTGTGATGGTTCGAGGGAAGATTTCTTCAAGGTGGGGGTGATAGTGGCTGTTTTGAGGGGGGAAGGAACAGTGCCAGATGACAGGGGAGGTTGATGATGTCGGCGAGTAGTGGGGCAAGGAGGTGGAGCTGGGATTTAAGGAGAGGGATGGGGTCCAGAGAGCAGGTGGTGGGCTTCATGGAGGATATGGTGGTGAAGACAGAGGAGGGGTTGACAGGTTCAACGGTGTGGAAAGAGGGATGGATAGTTGTCGGATGGTAGTTGTGTGGGGGGATGGGGGGGTTAGGGAGAGGGTGGAAGTTGGGAGGGCAGTGACAGTTGAGCGGATTCCCTTGATTTTGGACTCGAGGAAGTCCAGCATTTTCTCGCAGTGAAAGTCAGAGGAAAGTATCTGGGAGGCATGTCGGGGAGGGCGGAGGAGCTGGTTGGTGGTGGAGAACAGGAGCCTGGGGTTGCCCTTCACCTCCAGGATTAACCTGGAATAGAAGGACGATTTGTCCTTTACGGTGGTAAAGTAGAAGCAAAGTTTACCATTACTTTTGAACCATGGTTTTAATCCAATGATTATTATTATTGTTTCATTCTAGTTTCAGTGATGCAGAATGGAATCCATTACCAGTAAGTAAAGTAAAATTAACAATCAAGTTAAAAAAATTATGATTCTTTAGGCTGGAAAATGTTATTTTGTATCAGGCATCTTTCACTCTCTCTTGTCAAACTTTTCACAGTACCACATACCTAATGTCTTATCAAGAACTAACAACAGTGAAAATATTTTATGATGAAACTCCAATTTGTTCCAGTAACATTTCACGATATGAGGACGAGTTTCCGATTGTTTCACTGTCCAGAAATCATTAGAGAACGATTTTCATGAGAGTTTAATAGAAGAGGTTAAAGCAAATCTGATTTCTCTTACAGGTTGCAAGTCACAGTCACAACAATACATTATGGCTGACTGGCTTGGGCCAAAACTTGAGGTTTTCGAAGATCGACGGGATGTTCCAGAGAGTCCGAGCGACGATCATCTACGGAGTCTGAAGGCACTCACCCAGAAACTGAGGCTTGAAACCAGAAGACCTTCCTACGTAGAGTGGAAAGCAAAACTCGAAGGGAAAGATTGGAAAAGCTCAAAGCCATCAGGAGACCAAGAGCTCCCAGACATAAAGAAACCCACTGAGGAGATCAGCAAGTTTAAAAGAACACAAACGCACATCAATGGCAGTTCAGTTATAGATGGCAGCTTGACCTCCGGAAAATTCAGTGGCTTTGAAAATATCGACGAGGCTCTGAACTGGCTCAGGAAAGAACTGGTAAGTTTGAACATGTGCTCTTTTATCTACGACCTTTATGGTTAAAGAGACAGTGCCTTCCTTTCACTGGGCCTCCTAAAGGTCTACACTGAAAGCTATCTAACGCTATATACAAGACTGCTTTCATCACTTCCCCTCACATCATTTTTGTTTCAGTTCACAATGGTTTTAAATTTTACTTCAGTAACCTGTCCACTAACAGACAGATCAGCGAGAAAATCAGTCTATGTGCCGGGGGGCATTGAACTAATATTTTAAAACAATTATGGTTTCAGTCCTTCCTATGTCATACAGCCATTTACGTGGCGACTTATGCTAAACAAAATTCTCATTTACAGCACTCACTCACTTGTAAACGTCAGTTCTTTTAAGCAGCACCACTCACAGCCTAGAAAGACACTCATTCACTGCCACATCCCAGTAACACAATAGCAGCAACTCAGCCAGATGCTATCAGGTTTGAAGCATACTCTGTAATTTAGTGAAACAAAGATTTTAACAGTACATTGATATTTCAATGTGTTACAAATGCCTGAAACCTGACTGCTGAAGTGCAGACTCTTTCAAGTGTCTAGTTGCAGTAATATTAAGCTTATTCTGTTCATGCCTTTTTGAGAAATAACTCCCGTGATTGTAGTTAGCAAAAGAAAGGATTCTATACTTTGTTAGAAAACTAGCTTCAGCTCATTGATTTTTTCTCTCCCACCCTTCTTAAATCGGGGTGTTACGTTTGCAATCTTCTAATCAATGGGAATTGTTCCAGAATCCAGAGAATTTTGGAAGATCAAAGACAAGCCATCCACTATCTCAGTAGCCACCTCTTTTAAAACCCTAGGATGTAGGCCATCAAGTCCAGGAGATTTATCAGTTTCAAGGACCTTCTTCATCCAAACCAATCTTATGAAGTGCAGTCTCCAGTCTGGGCAGTTAGTTGACCACATACAGGATTGGGGTGTTCCAAAATGTTGTTAACCTCCAGATGTTTGTCTCTCTCAAACAGACAGAAATGCGGTTGCAGGACCAGCAGCTGGCAAGACAATTGATGCGCCTTCGCAGCGAGATAAACAAGCTGAAGATAGAGCAGGCCTGCCACTTACACCAGAGGATGCTCAATGATGCCACCTATGAGCTGGAGGAGCGGGATGAACTCTCAGACTTATTCTGTGACTTCCCAGTCACCAATGCCTTCAAGTTGTCTGCGCCGCTCAAACTGATCGGTGTAACAAAAATGAATATCAATTCCAGGAGGTTTTCCTTGTGTTAAAACACCAATAGCATAGTCAAAGTCATAAGAGTGAAAAATGTATTGTTCCATAATGATCACATATGAAAGGTTGTAGTGCCACCCTATGGTCTCTTCATTCGGACACCGTATTCATTTTTAAAAATTGTATTTTAAATTGCCTTTCCCCCTCTTGAGAAACTTACCTGAACATGCAAGAGCTGTGAGTGAGTGTTGGCGTGTTACTGGGAGCAGCACAACCATGCCTGATCTTGGCTTCCACTAACACATATACCATCACAACTTTCAGACTGCACAATAGCAATCATGAGAAACTCCTGGTTGTTTTATCCCTTTCTTTGCTCAGAAGTGCTAAGGGTGTCTGTAGGCTTTCCCGGTGCCTCAGCTGTGATCAACTAACACAGCACAGACCTAGGTTCAAACCATTGAGTCACTGGGGACTCTGATTAATCAATTTTTAAGCCTATTGGCACTTTGGTTTCTCAGTAAGACTGTGAGGCCATCAAATGTTTAGAGAGGAGAGAAATGTGTTGCTTAAAAAGTACCACCAAATAAATTGATTTCAAAATAAACTGGCTAAAAATGTCCAGTACTGTCGGAAAATCTAATTTGGAATTCAGAAATTGCTCAATTACAACTTCGATACACTTCTATCTGTGGTGATTTCCTTTCCCAGCGATTATCAAACTATCTGATGAGGTTAGAACCAGACTTGTGAAACAACAACAACAAAATTACATTTGTGTAGCGACTTTCACATCGGGAGGACGTCCCAAGGCTCTGGAGGAATGGGATGAACTCTCGGACTTATTCTGTGACTTCCCAGTCACCAATGCCTTCAAGTTGTCTGCCCCGCTCAATCTGTTCGGTGCTACGACAGTACTACAACAACAACTACAACAAAAGAACTGGGTAAATTATCCAGGCAGCTTGTGTCCATGTCTAGTAACATCCTGATCTGATTGATCCTCACAATTGAAGTCTCTGTCTAACAAAAAGCAAGTTTTTGTTCAATAATGGACAGATGGTTCTTGATGTATTCAAACTGTTCATTGTAATGGCAGCCTGAATGCAAGGTATGCATTACAAGCTGGTGCCACTACATAGAATAGAGCTTTCGATTAATACTCAAGTTGCAAATAAAACGGACAGGTGAAATGTTTAACAAGAATGCAAGAATGTTAAAGGTTAATGAAGACTAAAAAAAGCCTTGGTAATCGTAGACTGGTTTCGTTCAACTGCTTGAGAGAGATAGAGCCAAGTAATAAAGTGAACTATTAGCTTTTAAAACTGGTAGAGACTATTGTGTTTATGCTAGTAGGTATTAAATACGGAGGTGTTGTCATGCGCTTTGAAAACCAGGAATAGGTTTTCATTAAGTAATTCATTTAATTTCACTACACAAGCGATCCCCATTAAAAGTGATGGACTCCATTTATTTGCTGCACTATCAGGGGAGTACAGTACTGCACACCCTTGAATGTATTTCCTCATGAAGTAAAATTAGAGGGACACAAACAAAACTTGGCTGGAGGCATTTTCCTTTTAAAGTGCTAATCCCATCCACGAGGTTATTACCACAGTGATCTAGTAACCAGAGCATTGACTCTGAACAATGTCCAAACTTGTTAGGCAACTGTATTTCCCACTCTGAAGAAAGATCTTCAATGCATAGAAATATTTGATGTTTTGTTGTGGATTGCCTATATAAAAATGCTAAGAATACTTTGAATGTTGACATGAATGAAGCTACATGCAAAATTAATTGTGCAGGTTTAAAGTAATAGTTGGCAGAATTAACGCAAAACAGGAAAACCTCCAAAAGATACTTGACTGGATCCAGTAGTAGCATCCAATAAGTGACATAACTATAGTACACTAAGCCAAGATACACTGCTGGTAATGTACCAAGGGTGACATGAATGCTGATGTTCATTGGGAACATCTTAGTGCCAGATTGAAAGTTTTTTTGTTTGCAACTGAAAATATATAAAATGCCTGGGGGATGTTGAAACATCTGGACCTTGTGCATTGTACCTGCTTTTAATTCTTTGGGGTTTGGGGCCAAATAAGGAACAACCTGATGTAATGCCCATTCAAGAGTAAGAAAGTTTGTAAATTGGTTGATAAATCTCCAGACTAATTGTCAGTGAGTCCCACCCAGCAAATATAATTTTCCTCAGTTGCAATTGCTTTGTTGTGCCAGGTTCAAAATTAATTAAAAAAAACATTTTGAAGAAAATTTAAATCAATGTTGTCTACATTTATATTGCGCCTTTCACAGCAGGAAGTCTCAAAGCGTTTTACACAGCTAGCTGCGGTGGGGTGAAGATGAATGAAACCTCAGTCAAAGAAGCAATTCAAAAGATAAATAGGTCATCAAATTCCTATGAAGGCAGTAATTTGTATTCAGATCAAAAAGCAAAAATACCAAGTGAATGAAAGTTGAGTAATGTACTCAGAATTTTGACAGCTTCCCATAAAAACACAACAGCTTTACATTTATATAATGCCTTTCACATCGGGAAGATGCCCCAGGGTACTGGATTTACACCTGAGCTCGGGGTGGGAGCCGAGGGGCATGTGGGGAAAAATGGTTTTGTGAGTTTATCCGGTGAAGACCTGAGCTGTACAAATGGAGGAAATTCCCAGGTTTGATCCCTGGTGTATGCTGAGTTAGTGTTAGTACCCTGGGTCAGGGACGGGAAATTCACAGCAGAATTTCACTCCAATATCACCAGCCCTACAAGTGGTATTGAGGTGCGCATATGTCAAATTGAGCTAAAGTCTGGCTGAAGCCCCATATCAGATAGTCTGCTGATATTCACTGTCAAGCTGAGCTACAAAAGGTGACTCCTGAGAGTGCCACACGGAATCTGTGACAAATGCTGATGCAATTTTACGCATAAGGGAACTGGCCAGGCTCTAGAGGCAGAGCAGAGGAGAGCAACAAAGATGGATCTCCAGTGTTAGAGGAATGAGGTATGAACAACAATTGGACAAGTTAGGGCTCTTCAGTCTTGTGAGAAGATGTCTCAGAAAGACTTTATAGAGGTGCACAAAATTTTAAATGAGACTAAAAAAGTAAACCAATATTATTATTATTAAAAACTGCAAGTCTAATTGGGTCAGTGATCTTCCCGTAAAGAAAATCAAACTCACATTAATTAAAACAGGCAAGCTTCATAGAATCATAGATTTATACCGAGCAGAAGGAGGCCATTCGGCCCATTGTGTCCATGCTGGCTCTTTGAAAAGATCTATCAAATCAATCCCACACCCCCGCTCTCTCCCCATAGCCCTACCAACTTGTCCTCCCAAAATAATGATCTACTTCTCTTTTAAAAGTTGTTATTGAATCGGCTTCTACTACCCTTTCAGGCAATGCATTCCAGATCTGAACAATTCACTGTGCAAAGACATTTCTCCTCTCCTCCCCTCTGTTTCTTTCAGCAACTATTTTAAATTGGTGTCTTCGGGTTACCGACCCACCCGCCAGTGGAAATAGTTTCTCCTTTTTCACCCTATCGAATCCCTTCATAATTTTGAAAACTTCCATTAAGTCTCCACTTAACCTCTGCTCCTAGGAGAATAATCCTGGCTCTCTAGCCTCTCCTGATAACTGAAGTTCCTCATTCCTGGTACCATCCTGGTAAATCTCCTTTGCACCCTCCCCAATGCCTTGACATCCTTCCTAAAGTGTGGGGCCCAGAACGGAACACAGTCTCTCGCTGAGGCCTAAGCAGTGTTTTATAAAGGTTCATCATAACTTCTTGACTTTTGTATTCTATGCCCCTATTTATAAAGCTTAGTCTCCCGTATGCTTTTTTAACAGCTTTATCTACCTGTCCTGCCACGTTCAAAGATTTACTTCTACAAAGATTTACTTATAATACACAAGCTTAAGTAAATATATAAGATTTATTTATATATTTACTTAGGCTTGAGAAAGTAAACCTTCATTATGCAGAATTACAAGACTTTGCTTGTCCCAAGTTAATATCGTGGCATTTCAGATGTAGATCAATGTCTAAAAGGCTTATAGAAAACTAGAAAGTTATAAAGAATATGCTTGTCTGTCCTCCACATTGAATTGCAGTTGTTTGCTCAAACTGCAAAACTCCACAGATTTGAAAAAGAAATCAGGTCACTGAGTTGACTAAAGAAGGAAAAAATTCAACTTATAACGGTTAGCTTTAAGTTGCAGTGTCTGGTGTTGTGCCAGTTTCTTTGTAATGGGATCTAAAGTGCGATATTGACAATCAGAGGAGAGATCATAGGGCGGTAAATTGGAACCTTCAAAAACACACTTCTTGTGAAAGTTGCATTATAAAACATCATAAATTTCACCTTATGTGGATCTGGAAGGTCACATGTGATGTCAAAAGATTGGATAGGTTGAAGCTATTTTTTCTGGAATTGACACAATTGAGAGGGGATCTGATAGAGGCATTTAAGATTATGAAAGGATTCGATAAGGTTGTCTTTCATAGTTTGTTTTCACTTGTTGGTGAGTCTAAAATGAGGAGCCGTCAATATAAGAGCATAATAACAGTAGATCAAAAAAGAGTTTAGGAGGAACTTCTTTATGCTGAAGCTGGTGAGAATGTGGACTCGGCGCCAGAAGCTGTAGTTGAAGTNAAAAAAAAATCAACCTATTTGAGGAAACTTGCTGCAAAATGAGGGAGAAAGGAATAGAAGGTACGGGAGAAGGGAATAAGAGGGGTGGAGGCTAGTGTGGAGCATAAACACCGACTAGTTCACTCAAATGATGTGGTGCCATATGTAAATCTATTTTTGCTGAGTTAACTAAACTTAGTTACAGCAACAGCAACAAATTACATTTGGATAGTGCCTTTCAAGTCAAAAGGATGTCCCAAGGGCAAAGAGCCCTACAAACATAGCCAAACCACAGTCACAGGTGAAATACTGGAAGGCCCTTTCGTGCCTCAGTGTGAGTCATCGCCTTGGGGAGTGTGAGCGAGAACAGCATGTATTCATGATGATTCATATGACATTCTACAGTCTGTGAAAATCAATGCTGTGTGCGTGTGTGTGCATGAGTTTGTTAAAAGTTCAGAGAATCTGTTGAACCTAGAAATGAAGTAATGAAGATGGAATGATTCTACAAAAGTCCCCTGTTTTTCTTCCCCTGCTCAAGGTGTTGATTCTTTATAGGGTACAGTTCCAAAGGGTTTTGAAAGCCTTCAGTACCACACACGAGGAGGCTATTTGTCATGTGGGAGCCTAGACATTAAAGGCTAATCTTGACTGTGGAGGATATCACAAACTACCTCAATGAATATCCTCCTGGAGGGTGGGCGGGGGAAGGTAAGCAGATCTCCTTGGAGCTAAGCTAGATAACAGAATGTTGGAATTGAGTTAAACCACTGTGGTGGTCTCGGTAGTCTGGTTCCTGAGCCAGGCAGATCCGAAGTATTCCAGGGCACTGCTGATGACAACACAGTCAGTCTGGCTCATTGGCAGGACTCGGAGGCAGGGTCACTGGAGGCAGTGGATTTTTCCCATTCAGCTCCTATTAACTCTGTAAGCCAATGCCTAATGGGTAGGATGGTCTTATCTGGACAAATAGCAGGAAGCTGGCCTAGCTGGTTCAATACACATATTTTCTCACATGCCTTACAATACAATACAAAATTACATTTGTATAGCGCCTTTCTTGTCAGGAGGACATCACCACCAGGTTTTACCTGCGCTAACCTCTTGCTCGTCAGACTCTTTAGCTCTTCCGTACACAAGCTGTAGACAATCCAGACTTCTGCAGCCTATGTTCTCTCCCACACCAGGTTCCTCGAGCCTATTGTGGGAGAGAACATCCATCCTTACTTAGCTCCAATAGCTCCCCATCCCCAGCAAATCAAATTCAAGATCCTTGTTCTCACTTTCAAATTCCTCCACAGTCTTGCCCCACCCTATCTCTGAGACCTCCTCTAACCCCACTGACCCAATCACTCCCTTTATACAGCAAACCCTGGCCAGTTTTACGTCCCACGCCCTATCATTGTCAAGTGGGCTTTCAACTATTCTGCTGCCATTTTATGGAACTCCATCCAGGAGTCCCTCCAACTCTCTTGCTCCCTCCCTTTGTACAAGGCCCATCTCAAGATGTACCTCTTTGACCACACTTTCTGTCACCTTTCCCTACCCCACACCCTGCTGCTCCTTTCCCCCAGCTCGGTGCCCAAACAGGAGTGTCAAGAACTTTGAGGCATCCTCCCAACGTGAAAGGCACTGTATAAAACTGTATTGTATATATAACTTTTTTTTTCTCTTTAATTCCCAATTCATAATAAGATGAAGCTCAAGGCAATATTTTTGAGGGAGAAAAAACTCAATTCCTTGGACAATACACACAGACAATTTTTTGAATTGAACTTTTCCCAAATGCTTCTAGCAATTTTCAAAATTATTTGCTGCACATTCTGTTGTAGATAATATCCAAGATACTTTCTGAATCTATCCTTTTTAATCATTCCTAATCTCAGTTTCTCTGACCTGTCAGCCATGACAAGTTCAAACTTATAATTCCCTACACAACAGCAGAATGACAGAGGCCAAGTGAAAACTAAGATTTTCCTTCACAAATTAATCCTTTGCAGCCTAGCAACCCAAATCTCTTTCAGCAGAGACCGATAATCCCAAAGTGGTGTTCTAACACTAATAATTAACATAGCTGATAATTTACATAGGTTTACATCCATGCCAATGTTTATACTCTTCAGTAATCTCCTCCCACTCATTCCCCCCACATCCCCTTCTCCTGATAATAGATTAGTAGCAAGCAGGCTACAATATACAACAACAACAACAACAAGATTCCATTTATAAAGCGCCTTTCACGTCAGGAGAACGTCCCAAGGCGCTGCACAGTTGGGTCATGACCCGAGCAGGGGGGAAATGGTCAGGGTGAGGGGAGGGAAGGGAGGGAGCGAGGAGGGGGGAAATGGTCAGGGTGAGGGGAGGGAAGGGAGGGAGCGAGGAGGGGGAAGAGAGTCGAGAGGGGAGCTGAAGGCTCGGTCAAAGAGAAAGGTTTTGAGACCGGCCTTGAAGGAGGAAAGGGAGGAAGCAAGGCGAAGGCACTGGGGATGGAGTTCCAGAGCCTGGGGGCTGAAGGCCCGACCACCGATGGTAGGGCGGTTGGGGCGGGGGACGTGGAGCAGACCGGAGCCAGAGGAACGGAGGGTACGGGCAGGTAGGTAGGGGGATAGTAGGTCGG